CCCTGAGTGACAAGATTATTGGGGCTAAGGTACACCTGCAAAAAGGGCTAGGGGCTCACCTGCCGTTCACAATCACCTTTTTGGTTTCCTCTGATACTGAAGCCATCACAACATGGAAATTACCCCGTGATTGGACGGACCTAAGACCCAACACAAAATCCATACAAGAGCATTACAATAATGCAAGGAGTGACATAGAAAACAATCCGCAGACTACCGTAGAGTCACGGCTTTCGCAATGGGCAGGTGTAGTGGAGACTGCAGTGAATGGGGCACTTGCCTCAAGTGGAGACCCCGATGGTCCTGCCTACTTGCCAGCAGCTTACCGTGGTAGGTGCCAAAAACCCGTGTTCCGCAGTGTGCAACCTGCACCCCTTCCAAAATTTGCCAACAACCGCACCTATGACCCATTGGTCGAGGTCGTGTCCTACACAGCTGTGCATAAGACCAGACAAGTGAGGAGGTTGTATGCCTTTAAGAGAACACTTGCCGCCTATTGTGGCCCCCAGGGGAGGTCAATACACCGTGACGAACTGTGTGCGCTTTGGCATTCCATACGGGTAGCGAAGGGCTATCAGCCAGATTTCCCAACCTGGTGCCAACAATCTACAGGAGTATGGTACATCGACTGCATTGCACTATCTGCAATTCCTTGGATTGAAAAATTGATACAGTGCGCCCGCGCTGATTGTGATCAATTTACAGCACAATGCCGGACAATGCGCGCACAGGATTTTAAAACAAAGCTTGAGGTTGACTGGGGCAAGAACGGGGGAAAATTCACTGCGCAATTGCTCCGTAAGCCTGCTTTTTCTCCAGCAAACCATATGACTTCCACGATACAGTATGACGCTTCTAGGTTGCGGACAACCTCAAAGGGGTTGGCACGTATCCGTATTTCAGGCTCTCACATAGCCGCAGGTGAAGTTCTTATTATCCAAGGGGAGCGCTGTCGCATTCTTGAAAGACCGAGACCTGAAGTCTATGTGCTGGACACACTGCCCGCAACGTCTACACGTTTTGTGATCCACCACGAACAGTGGTCCACCTCAGCGACCACAGCCATTAATAATTTATTAGGTGTATGGCAACCTGTGTGGCAACGAGATACGGAAGAGGAAAGGGACCAGGAATCGGAGTGGCTGCAAGCTATCCAACTTATCGAGGCATTTGCACCGCAGTTGCCAGACATTCCCATACCGACCCTGACTGTACCTCTGAAGCACCCAAAACACGCATGACAACACCAAAACCCTAAGTAACTGCCCACGAAACTGCTGCCTGACAAGACTCACGGGTTCACGTGAAACTGCTGCCTGACAAGATTCACGAATTCACGTGTGTTGGGTCCTTCGGATTTTCACGAATTCACGTGTATTGGGGTGCTTCGGATTTTCACGAATTCACGTGTATTGGGGTGCTTCGGATTCTCACGAATTCACGTGTATTGGGTCCTTCGGATTTTCACGAATTCACGTGAAACTGATACCTGACACTGCCTGACAAGATTCACGAGGTTCACGGCCTTCCTCTCCCTCCTCCCCTTCCTCTCCTTCCCCTCCTACCCGTCCCTGCCCCAAGTGCGTCCGCCCGCCAAGTGCGTCCTGCCCCAAGTGCGTCCCTGCCCCAAGTGCGTCCCTGCCCCAAGTGCGTCCCTGCCCCAAGTGCGTCCCTGCCCCAAGTGCGTCCCTGCCCCAAGTGCGTCCCTGTTCCAAGTGCGTCCTCCCCCCAAGTGCGTCCTGCCCCAAGTGCGTCCCTGCCCCAAGTGCGTCCCTGCCCCAAGTGCGTCCCTGCCCCAAGTGCGTCCCTGCCCCAAGTGCGTCCCTGCCCCAAGTGCGTCCCTGCCCCAAGTGCGTCCCTGCCCCAAGTGCGTCCCGTCCTCCCCCAAGTGCGTCCCTGCCCCAAGTGCGTCCCTGTCCTCCCCCCAAGTGCGTCCCTGCCCTAAGTGTGTGTCCTCCCCCCAAGTGCGTCCCTGCCCCAAGTCCCAAGTGCGTCCCTGCCCCAAGTGTGTCCTCCCAAGTGCGTCCCTGCCCCAAGTGCGTCCTCCCCCCCAAATGCGTCCCTGCCCCATGTCCCCTCCCTCCTCCCCTTCCTCTCCCCTCCCTCCTCCTTCTTCTCCTGCTCTCCTTCCCCCCGCTGCCTGTCAAGATTCACGGGTTCACATGAAGCTGCGGCCTGGGGGAGGGGCTGGGATTGCACGACAACTGCAAGTTGAAGAACGGCAAGGCTACTTGCACCAAAATCATGCTGGCAGGTGAACACTGGCTGAGCAAAGTGACGCAAGGGCTCTTTCCACACTGCTGACTGCTAATCCTGGAAAGTCAAGCAAAGCTGCGGTGAAACGTCCCTGCTTCTTGCACAACGCCAGGTGAAACGGTGTTTGCCGTAGCTGCCTCGGCCGAGAAGCTCACACATGGCACGAAAAAAAGGCATCACAACTCTTCATGCCCACAACTCCGCACCATCCAAAACGGCGAAGCGGACAACTGAAAAATTGGAAAACCATAGGAGGGGTAGTGCCCAGGAGCACCAACGACGATCGCATCACCGGCATCAGCTTGACAGGAATTCAACATCACGGCATAGTCTTGGACGGGAACAGGTCGACCTCAAGAGAAACGGTGTCCCTCGCAAATGCAAGCCGGGGCCACTTCCAAACAAAAAGAAACGCAGTCCACTCAAGGCCCAGGCAGCTGATTTTGAGGTCGAGCAGAGCCGAGCACGGGTGGCGGCGAAACAAGGAAAAACACTCCACATGGCCTCACCAAGTCGGATTGGGCCAAACCTTGCTCGAAGGCGAGTCCAGCCGTGGCACAAACTGTGGATCCACCTGCGAGTGACCAAAAAAGTTGCAAAAGACAGCTCCAGAGGGCCGCGCCACAAGAAGACCTGCGGGTCGAGCAAAGCCTGGCATGGGAGTTGGGAAAGCAAGGAAAAAACATTGTAAAACCCGGCGGAATGACGAGCTGCACCAAACCTGGATCAGTGTTTGAAGGGCGAGCTCAAACCCATCCACCTATCAACATTGACAGCACGGACAATAAAGGCCCGGGCAAAACGCGACTTGCCCACGCCCCCCGCCCCGGATCAAGAAGAAATGCCCGAAAAGGCTGCAGCAAGCCGAATCTCGCCTTCACAAGGCTCAAGTCCAACCACAACCGACAACGTGAAAACCGTGAGAAAAAGGCAACACCGGTAACCCGTCATGCAAAATGGACAAAAATACGTCTTTTCCAGAAATGGCCCTCGAGCCGCTTGAGCCGGGGCCGATACCTTGGTCGGACCACCTTTTTTTGGACACCCTACTAAAAAAAAAACGCCGGCATCAGATGACTATTACCGCCACATTCGCCATTGGCGAGGTCCAGACCAGCCTTCCAGGGAGCCAAGTCGGCGCCCTTGAGGTCCAGGCAGTCCGTGGACCAGCGTCCTCTGGGAGCCCAGCAGTTTCGGCGAGGACCAGGGGCCTCGGCAGAACGTCTGCTTTGCGATGGAGAGGGATTCCAAGGCCTGGGCGGCCTGGGATGACTTTGAGGAGAGATGCGTTGGCGAACTATCGGCGCGATGGGACGACAAGAACGTGAAGGACAGGTGGCAAAGCTGCCTCAAGGAGTCGCGTCAGGGAACAACCTTCCTGAAGCGCAAGCTGGACTTGCGCAATGTGCGCAGGCGGTTCTTTTGACCGTGGATCCCCGACGCAAAAGAACGCGCCCGCAGAGACCCGTTTGGGGGCCTCGAGAAAACCCGCGAAGAGGGCTGGGGAACCCACAGAACTTCAGGGCCGGGGCGGCCACCTTGGTCGGACCATTTTTTTCCGCCGGCCTAAGAAAAGCAATCGACAACAATGGCATCCTGGGCGAGGCAGCGGGAGCATATCAGGAAGGCGGTCAAGGCCGGATCGAGGGCCCGGGACACGGATGACGGAAGCCGTGTCTTGGGCTTGAGGCGGGGCCGAGGCGCCTACGCGCTGCTCCAGCGCGCGGACGGGAGCGTTACCAGGGCCGGGGAGGCCTACTTCGGCATGCTCGGGCGGCAGCCAGAGTCGAGGACCTTCGACCCAAGGCAGCCGCTGGTCAGGGAGGGCGCGGCCGACTACGTGCTACTGCAGAACGGGCAGCGGGGTCTAGTGCGCGGCTGCGGGAGGACGGCACCTACCAGCTGACGAACCTAGGGAGGCGGTTCTTCAAGAACAAGCACTCACAGCACGTAGCACACATCCCACTGGTCATAAGGGGAATGCGGCGGGCCGGCAAAAACGCGGGCTTACGAGCGCAGGGACTGGCTCCCCGCAAATGTCCTGGGTGGAGAGGCCAGCCGGCAGCCCGACAAGCTGTCGGAGCAGCAAATACTGCAAAACGTCAAGCGGGAGACGCTGCAGTTGGTGGCTGCGGGGGACGAGGACCGCGCCGCCGGCAGGGCGCCCATCATGGAACTCAGCGACGAGACGTACTTCTACGACCCGGAGCGGGAGTGGGTGGTGTCCTCGGAGACCGCAATACCGGGACAGCCGCGCACACGTAGAAGCGCCGCGTGTCGTACCAGCTAACAGCATCCTGGAAGCGTTCGAGGACTCTGGGGACTTCCAGGCCCGGCTGGACGAGGTGGAAGCCTGGCAGGCCCAGCAAGGGCCGATAAGAAACATGGCTGACGCCCGCAGACGAACCATCAAGGCTGTCTACGAGGATCCCCGCACCGGCTTTGGCAGCATCGCGCAGACGCTGCAGCAGGCTCAGTCCCGCGACCCCAGCATCTTCAGAGAGGAAGTGAAGGCGTTTCTGGACGGCCTCCGGGTAACCAGACCGGCGTGGTTCCAAAGAACCGCATCGAAAATGGCAAGAAAGCAAATGATCACGCCAGGTCCATCGATTAAAAACGCCTTGGGGTCAGAGTCGGCGGTCGCAAAAAGGCCAGACTTGCTGTAGTCTTAGGTTTCTCCCTGCCCAACCATAAACAAAGAACACTGATCCGAACACAGCCGCCCCATGCTAATCAACACATTTCGCACTGTCTTCAGGATGTCAGGCTTCTGACAGGCTGTCTAGCGTCTTCGGAATTTGCACGGCCTGTACATACACATTCTGGAACACTCTGTCTGGCCCTTGCGCCAAGGCCATTAAGCGGTTAAACTCTGCACTCGGGACGAATTTGCTCGGAGCTCCCGGAGCCAAAAAAGTGAGGGTGAAACTGTGTTGTCCCTTGCAATCTTTGAAAATGTCGCGCAACCTCTTCGCAAACCCTTCTGCGATGCTGTGCTTCGGAGAGAGTGTCACAGAGATGCCGTGGTTGAAGTCGAGCAGGTAGTCGATGCCTGGGTACCGTTCTGGGCTGTGCACAAGGCATTTCTCCGTGCCTCTGCGCTTTACGGCTTGGAGCCATCTGCTGTTGAAAATGTCGTTGACATCACAATGCAGCAATTTCAAAGCAGGCACTACCAGATCTTTGCCCTTCTTGTGCTCCCACTTGCCTGCATACGTTATCATCCAGGGCTCAAGCCGCTTGTCACACCATGATGTGGTCAGCCAAACCCCAACAAATTCTTCCAGCCAATATCTTGATTTTGGGTCACTTTCGTCCTTCCACAAATTCACAAGCTCGGCATAGTGCTCCTGTGCAAGAAGCTCTCTAGCTTTCGGGGAGCATACAGCGACAGTGCAAGAGATCCCATTTTCGGTACGGAATGTGAAGAGCCTGCTTGGCAGCTTCGTCCCAATGCTGTCCAAATCTCCACCCAAGGCGCGTCGCACTGTTGCGAAGTCCTTCGCGTCGGTCTTCTGCTGCTTCACGGCATCCTCATAAGAGCCTTCTTTGGCCAAAAGGGTGCGAAGGGTGCCTCCAACCTGCTCGAATCTATCAAGCAAAGTGCTCTCACTCACTTTCACATCCTCGAAACACGGATAGGCCACCTTCAGCTCCCCCTTTTGCCATGCCTCCACATAGACACAGTGTCCACCATCTTTGATGAAGTTGGAGTAGTGTTCCCTGTCGGGGCTGCAGGCCTTCACCGTCTTGGCCGGCAGCTTCCCCGTGGTCTCCTTGCCGTAGGTATCCACCAAATACCAGTTGTACTTCACTTGCAGGTGCTCGCAGGAACCTGGCTTCCAGTCCTCCAATGCTATGCTCTGCGCCTTCCAGTCACCGTCCTTGTTGGTGAAAATGAAGACCTTGAGGCCCTCCCGGGCCTCGTAGACAATGGCCTCGGGCGTCTTGATCCACTCCGGGCGCTCGCCCGACACCAGGTGCCACAGGCCCAGCGCCAGGGACCTGCTCTTGCCGATGCCGGGGATCCCCAGCATGGCCACGCGCCTCGTGCCGTTCTTCAACAGCTCAAAGGTGGCCTGCCAGGCCTGGCGCGTCGTGTTCCGCGTCAGCAGCTTCCTCCCGCTCAGGTCGTAGGGCTCTGCGGGCAGGCACGTCTTGAGGTCGAAGACCTGCACGCCTCAGTGTGGCTTCAGCAAGAAAAGCAAAACTGGCATCCCGCCGTCCTGCCGGCCTTCGCCGAGGTCCTTGGGCTTGGCGTTGACCAGCTCCTGGATGAACGCCGTGGCATCTGGGTCATCCTGCAGCCGCGATCACACACAAGGCGCGAGCCATGACACAAGCCGTCCTTAATCCCGCTTGCCTGCGCGGCATACGACGGACAAGACAGGGAAAAGATGACGCATGAGCTGTTCGAGAATCGAGCATCAACGACTGGAACAAAAAGTAAAACAGCACAATCCAGCATGGACACAAAGCTGGGGATGCATGAGCTCAACCATCCATTCGTGGGGCTCCACAGTGAGTCGCATCACGTGCGCCAACAATGCAGCCAGCTGAAGCCCAAAAAAATGCGCTGTGCTGTGCCCAAACGCGATCTTGGGATTTCATGGTTCTGTGGATGCGATCACAGCAAAAATACACTGTGCACACTTTAGCAATCTCCTCCATGCTCGTGCTGTCGGAACAAAATGTCACCTTCGAATTGCATTGTGTCTGCAGCAGCAACCACCATGGCAGAAGGGTAGGTCTTGCTCTTCAAAAGGCAGGCGACTGGAACAGCAGGCTCTTCAATATTTGCGGGGTTCCCCCTCGACTGTTTGATAGTTTTGCGCTCCACTAACCACTCACACCAAATCAGGCAGATATGAACTGGTACGGAGAAAATTGAACAACAGAAAAGGATGGAATGGCAGCAAAACGGGCAAAACATCGAGCAAGAACACTGCGAGTGGATGCAAAGCCGGGAATGGTTGAGCTCACTGCATCAAAGAGAACATTCATAGAATGCACTTGTGCCTGCAGCAGCAAGGGCCCCAATGGGTGCAAAGACATCAGAGTTTGCCCTCCCTCTCCCCGGCAGACGGGCAGGTCTTGCTCTTTCAAAAGCAGGCTGGGGGCAAGCGCAAAATCACTCACAACAATCAACGGCACGTCTCAATCAATGTCGACCGGCAGGAATGACCGACCTCCAACAAGGAAAGGCAACCATCCGTTCATGGGGGCTCCATACCGAGCCTGCCAACGACACGAACCGCCGCAATCTGCAAAAATTCTATCTTGGGATTTCCTGGTTCTCTGGATGCGATCAGGGCAGCCCCACCAAAACCATGTGCGGGCCGCGCGGGGAATTTCAGAACCGCACACAACGACCAACGGCTCAGAACACAGCCGGCCGGCGGAAGCGACCGACTCCGCCCGCCTCGGACTCCTTCGTCCGGCCGCTTGCCTTCGCCTCCTTGACCTCCTTCTTCGCCCTCTCCACCTCCTTCTTCGCCCTCTCCACCTTCCTCTCCGCCTTCTCCACCTCCTCCTTGGCCTCCTTGACCTCCTCCTTGGCCTCCTTGACCTCCTCCTTGGTGCCTGATTCCTCCGCCTTCTCCAATCTGGCGGCGGCTTTAACCAGACTCTTCATCACCATCTCCACCTGCTGCTGGGCAGTCTCAACCTGCCGCTGGGCGCTCACTTGCTGCTGTCGCGCCAGGAGCAGGTCCTGCCCAGCAAGACTCACACGCCGAGCAGCAGTGCGCTCGGACGGACGGCCTCTTCCAAGGCCTTTAGGGCTGCCTTGGCCTGAAAAGCAACCACGACAAACATGCAGCACAGAGAATGTCACGAAAGCGCTTGTGAATCTGACCTGTTGGTAAAACAAGCAAACACTCCTGCCTCTGCCACAAACTTCTTTAGCTGCTGCTTTAACTCAGGCTTAGTCGCCAAATCATTCCACTTCCCTGGATCTGTCAGCTGCACTTTTCCCGAGCTCAAAATTTCACCACGCCTGCTGCAACCAATGTGCTGCTAAAGCGGCGCATGACCACTTGCATGTCTTTCTTCGTCGCCGATGTGTTCAGCACCCGTTCAGCTTCTGAAATCACCTGAGCGAGAAAAGGCTGGGACGTCGCTTTCTCTGAAGGCCCGCCGCCTCCTCGAGATCGCGCCGGTCCTGACAACCAACAAGCCCAACGTTCAAGCCAGATGCACGTGTCCCCCAGGCCTGGCCACTGTTGTCCTGGCGGCAACCGGCAAAAGATGCGAACAGGCTTCGGGTCGGAGGAGTCCTCTTGCGCAGCCCCGGCGCGCCGAGCGACTCCGGCATGCAACGGGTGCCGTTTTGCCTGAAAGAGCCAAAGTGCAATCTGCTTGCGCCTGCGGGCAACTCTGAGAACTGGGCCAATATGCTGTCCTGGCACTCAGCACGAAACAAGAACATCCAAAGGAGGGACTTCATGCTCCTTCAGCCCAGGAACTCCTCGAGCAAAGTCCTGGGCGGCGGCGACAAGGGACTCCTGAAACCCGAAAACCTTCGAAAAAATGTGTCCCAAGACCCAGGCCGTGCTCGGCTGCACGAGCAGCGCCAATGCAATCCCGAGAAGGCAGAGGCACATACCTGGCCGCTGCCTACCGCGGGCACGGTAGCGTCACAAGCTTGCCAGCCTCGGCTTTTGGTCCTGGTCCGCATCATCGCCATGGCTATTCGAAAAGCGCTTGAGCGGCCTGCGATTCCTCAAGCACTGGCACTAGACCCATCGGGCAACCATTGCGAGCTGTTGTTGTGTCAGTGTTGATGAGTACCCTCGAGCCAAGTTTCCAGAGCAAACACAAGATTGACTGGCTTCTTTGGCAACACCAACGCACGGGTTTGGATGCTCCTCCTCCTTTTCACTCGCGGCCTGAAGGTCGGTCGGGACAAGCCTTGCAAGGCTTCGCAGCGTCCATCCGTCAGACTGGCTCACCCACATCCTGCCGCTGCATCAAAGTCCAAGCGAGATACCAAACTGGCCTGCCTGCAAAACAAGCAGCCGAAATCGGCACCGGGCCGCCAGGGCCTGAAGGGCGGGGGTTTCTGGGGTCCCTGGTTGGGATGTGGGATCCCTAGGGTCCCTACATTCCCTAGGGTCCCTAAGCTCCCTAAGGTCCCTAGGGTCCCTAGAGTCCCTGGGGTCCCTGCACACGTGTGCATCAGACGTCTCGCCAAGGCCCCAGAGTGCGCTCATCCCTGTCAACGCACGGCGGGTTCAGGGACCTTGGGGACCTTAGGGACCTTAGGGACCTTAGGGACCTTAGGGACCTTAGGGACCTTAGGGACCTTAGGGACCCCCTAGCAACCCTGCAAACCCTACCCTAGGGACCCTAGGGACTCCGAGGACTTCAGGGACCCAGCGACCCAGGGACTTCAAGAGATCCTTGGTGGCCCCAAGGATTTTGGGGCTTGAAGGGATCTTGGCAAGAACTTCACGCCGGGTACCACTCAGCCTGGGCATTCTCCAGCATCATAGGGTCATGCAAAAACACAAAATGCCGAAGCCAAGACACACACACACACACATTGCAAATGGGCCACAACACCACAACATCATCTCCCAACTACAAACACGGATGTAGAAAACACCATGTAGAGACATACCAACATAAAGGCACAAAGACATAAAGATATAAAGATATAAAGAGAAAGGTATAAAGATACAAAGATATAAAGATATGAATTTGTAGAAATACAAAGATATAAATATATGAAAACTCATAAAGAGATACAAATACGTAGAGATATGAAGATATAAATGTATGAAAATAAATATGAGTACACGAAGATAAATAGATGTATGGCAAGTTGCTCGAATGGAAAAACAACAGAAGCTTTGCCCTTCCGCGCGTCTTTGTGTCCCCTTGCGTGGCAAGCTGCAACCAACCGAAGCTTGAGAGATGACTTCACACTTCACAGGATCTCTTGCCCCCAAGACCCAGGGTTGCTGGGGTCCCTAAGGTCCCTGGGTCCCTAAGGTCCCTTAGGGTCCCTAAGGTCCCTAGGGTCCGTAAGGTTTCTGGGGTCCCTAAAATCCCTGAAAACGCCGTGTGTTGACAAGGATGGATGCACTTTGGGACCCTGGCCAGACGTCTTGATGGAAGGACGTTGTTTCATGGCACCTGCAGCGGACGCACGCGTGCCCAGGGACCCAGGGACCCCAGGGACCCCAGGGACCCCAGGGACCCCAGGGACCCCAGGGACCCCAGGGACCCCAGGGACCCCAGGGACCTTTAGGGATCGCAGGGACCCCCGGGACGGACCGTCAGGGCTTCACTGGGTCAAAGATCAAGGGGGCTGACAGATTGGTGACAAAGATCAAATGACAATAACCTGCACGGGACCTTTTGGCCATGACAATGGAACGCGGCGAGGGCCCGGGCGGAACGTGGAGCTCGAGGCGCAAGCTCAAAAGTTCGGAGTGCCTGAGCGCCAGGAAAAAAAATGCGATTTTGAGGAAACCACGCTGCCTGACTTACAAAAAACCTGACAGTACGACTTGACGGGGTTGGGGCAATCGCTCTCAAGGTCAAGGGTTCACCAGGTTGGAGAGACAAATGCGGGCCTGGCTCAACGAGGTCACGATTTCCAAAGATACACGGGCCTGACGGCGCGGCTTGACGGGGTTGGGAAAAGCACACAAAAAAGCAACGCGAGTCGCGCAAATCCTGGCACGGGACGGGGGGGGGGTGTCCGGGCCTCGCTAGGCCAAAGATCAGGGGGCCTGACAGATTGGCGAGTTGGGACCCAAACCTCAAAGATCAGTTGGCATTGATGGCCATGACAACGGAAGCAGCGAAGGCCCGGGCAGTATGCCTCGATGTCAAAACAAAGCCTGGCACGGGGAAGCGCGAAAACACGACCTTCAAAATCCAGGACCAAACCTGAAACACTGCTCAAAGGCCGAGTTGACACCAATCCGCACAGGTGCCCAGCCAAAAAGTCCCCAGTAGCACGAATTGGATCCACCTGCAAGCGGCCAACAAAAAGTGACAAAAAGGCAACTCCAAAGCGCGGCGCTGCGAGAAGATCTGCACGTCGAAGTCTGGGCACAGGGCACGTGAGGTCAAGAAAAACTGTGAGTCTGGAACCACGCCTTTGCACCCGCGAGCGGTTCCCTGCCACCCGGACCCCAGAACGTCCCCGAATCTCGCCTTCACAAGAATCGTAAGAAAAACGCAACACCGGCACCTGTCATGCAAAATCACGCTCAAAAACCACGCAAAACGGAATTTACGGAAGAACAAACAAAAAGGTGTTTTTTTCCGGAAATGGCGGCCCTCGAGCCGCGTGAGCCGAGGGCCGTCCCTTTGGTCGGACCATTTTGTTGTCCGCCCTATAGAAAAAGGACCGGCAAGCAAGAGTCAAGATGACTACCATCGCCACTAGCGTCGCCCTGGGCGAGGTGCACACGAGCCCCAAGGTCCGCGTGGACTCACGTCCTCTGGGAGCCCAGCAGCTTCGGCGAGGACCAAGGACCCAGGCAGAACGCCTGCCTTGCAATGGAAAGGGATTCCGAGGCCTCGGCGGCCTGGGAGGAATTCGAGAAGCGGTGCGTTAACGAGCTGTCTTCGCGGTCGAGCCGCATTTGGAGCGACTACGGCGATGTGAAGGACGGGTGGCAGAGCTGCCTCAAGGAGTCCCGACAGGGAGCGACCTTCCTGAAGTGCAAACTGGACGCGCGGAACGTCCGCTTTTGGGACACCGACGGCAGCAAGATCCAAAGGCCCGAGTCGCTGGCGGGCTGCGTGCCAGGCCAGCGTTGAGGCATGGCAGGTCTGGATCATGGGCAGGCAATGCGGCCTGGTGGAGGTCCGCGACCTGCAGGTGAACCCCGGCACGGCGACTCTTGCCCCTTCTAAAACTGCGTTCTTTTTATCGTGGATGTCAGACGTAAGCGAACGCGCCCGTAACTGACCCCGGGCGGCCTCGAGAGAACAGCGAGGCCCCGGGGCACCCAGGGACTTAGGGGGCCTAGCGGACTTAGGGGGCCGGTTCGGCAGCAGGGCGCTCAGCGCTCGTGCTGGTTGCGCAGCCTCCGCACGGGCGCGGAGGAGCCTCAGCTTCTGGGAGCTCACCCAGGTGCTAACCTGCATGTGACGGCCTCGGATGAAGAGCGTGTCAAGGGCGCCGTGGGGTTTGGAGCTGCGGCATCGTCCATGTCGTCGGTTATTATCAGGATCTGGTACAGTTTCTTCATTTCCAACTTCTTGGACGCTTCCGTGATCTTGCGCTGCTGCTGGATGATGCGCGGCAAGGCGGACTCATCCCACTGGTCCCAGTAAGCCTGCTCACGCTCCGTGTTCACCCCCAGGTCCTGCTCGATGTACTTCTTGACGGGGCTCCAGCCATCATCGATGTTGGCGCTTGGGCTGAAGACGTAGATCCGCTCAAACACGCCCTTGGAAGATCCGGCACCAGGCACCACGGGGTCCGAGGCTTGCTTGCTGGTGTACTCGCGTGGGGAAAAGCTTGATCTTCCCCATTCGTTTTGCGTTACGCAGGTTCCGGAAGCCGGCCAGCGAGTCGGGACCTAAAAGTAAAGGCCGGCACGCAGCTGAAGTATATGGGCAGTAAGTCGTGGAGCCAGCCACACCTGGACCCTCACATGCAAAGGCCAAGAGAATTCCAACCCAACCAACCTTCTGCTCTGAGTCACCGTTGCGCTTAGAAAGCACTTATCAGGCTTTTCGAGCCACAGCTCCGCAACAGAAACGCACTTACAAGGCCAGAAACAGCGCTTTAAGCCCGGGCAACTTAAACTTCCGAGACGCACAGAATGCGACTAGGACCCGTTTTGCCTGCATATTGAAGCAAGCTGAAAACCCTTGCAGAAGCGCAAGCAGAAGGGCTGTGGCCGCACCGCGAAACCACCAAATTTTCGGAGAATCCACATTTGCTGAATGACAACCTGTGAGGATGCGCTGTGAGCGGTTTTAGATTTCACAAATAACAGAGAGAGGATCAGGGCCTCGGCCTTCAAGGGAGTCGGTCTCCGTAACGGACCTGCTGGCCGACTTGCTGGCCCTCACGGGCTCGGCCACGCTGGACTCACCGCGCAGGGCAACGTGGGCTGCGCCAGCTGCTGTGCAACGACGTGAACTGCACGGACGTGTTCACGACGGCGTGGACGCCTCGGGCGCCATTTCCTGCGCAGCGCTTACAGCAACCGGCACCGTCACCGAGCCACGCTGTCGTCCACCGTGTCGGGCAGCTTGCTGAGCATCACCGGGGCGGCCAGCGTGGGCCTGCCAACACGGCCTTCACCACGGTGGGCGACGTGTCCACGGGCCTCCGGCGCAGCGACGGCGGCGAGCTTCCTTCCGCGGGCCGCTGGACTGCGAGAGCCTGGACTGCACCTTCACGGCCACGAGCGGCGGAGTGTCGACGGGCAGCGTGGACATGACGAGCTCGGGCACGGTCTCCGCGCCGCAGCTCTTCTGTGTCGTGACCAACACCTCCGACTTCCTGGAGAGTCAGATTGCAATCTTTTTTCTTGACGTTTGCCGTTTATTTGACATTGTTGTGTTTTAAGGGCAGAAATTTGACAATGACCCATTTAGAGCCCGAAAACATGTCAATGACAAACTTTTTGGCGTGATATGGGCCCGGGCGCCAAAACGCTGCGCAGAGTGAAGCACGGTTCAAGCCGAGGATAGAACGCGCGAACGAGAGCAGACACACACATCACGAAACACGCGAA